GGCATAAATTTAATTCCCTCAACCGCCAATACTACTGCAGATACCTTCAGTTTGTTAAATCCTCCTTGTTTTCTAACCCTAAATACTTTTTTAAGTTCGTTAATTCCAAAAGAAAAATCTCCATAAATCCGTCGTTTGTGTCTTTTAATGGCTCCGAGTCGTCGGATGATTTTGAATCCTCAAATCTCTTTGCGGAATACTTCCGACAGAACTTTTCAACGGCCAATTTTGATTTATCGGAAAATTATCCATATTCGATTTCTAATTCGGTTTCAATTCCTAACTTTGTTATATCGGAAAATGACGTTTTTGAAGGATTGAACTCTCTGAAATATAATTGTTCGCCTGGACCCGATGGGATCCCCTCATGTGTACTTATATCTTGTGCTGGCGAGCTTTGTGATGTTATCTCAAAGATTTTTAATAAGTCTTTGAATTTAGGTGTTTTCCCTTTGTGTTGGAAGACTTCTTTCCTTATTCCTATTCACAAAAGTGGTAGTAGGCAACTTGTAGAGAACTACAGAGGCATCGCCAAGTTGAGTGTCTTACCTAAACTGCTCGAGCGAATTGTGGCTCAGCATATAGCCTTTTCCATGAAATTGTATATTTCTCCTTTCCAGCATGGTTTTCGAAAGGGAAGATCTACGGTGACCAATCTGTTGGAGTTTACTTCTCATGTTTTCAAGGTTTTTTCTAGTGGTTCTCGCACTGATGTCATTTACACCGACTTTAGCAAGGCGTTTGATATGGTTAATCATAGACTTCTTAGATTTAAAATCCAGACCTCTGGCTTTCCTCTCTTCTTAGTTGAATGGTTAAGCTCTTATCTGTATGGTAGATCATTCAGGGTTTTGTTTAACCTCATTACCTCGGATGAATTTCCCGTGACGTCTGGCGTACCTCAAGGTAGCCACTTGGGACCTATTTTATTTAATCTTTACATCAATGATTTGCCCTCCGTGATTAAATTCAGTAAGATTTTAATGTATGCTGATGATGTGAAACTGTTTACTTCTTTTTCCGTAGAATCGCAATCACATCATCTTCAAAGTGATTTGAACAATTTGGTTGCATGGTGCTCCCTCAATCTTCTGAAGCTAAATCTAAATAAATGTAAGAAGCTTTCTTTCTTAAGAAGGAAGTCGTTTAGTACCCAATACTTCATTGATTCGCACAGGTTGGAAGACGTCGATTCGTTCATAGATTTAGGCGTTCTATTCGATTATAGGTTACGTTTCAATTTGCATATTGAGTCCTCGTTAAGCAAAGCTAGGTCCGCTCTTCGTTTTATAAAGAGGTGGTCCAAAGACCTTGATGATCCTTATATTACTAAAAGGCTTTACACGTGTTTGGTTAGACCTATTCTTGAGTATGCCTCTGTTGTGTGGTCTCCTTCATATAGATGCTACGTTGGTTCAATTGAATCTATACAAAAGCAATTCTTGCTGTTTGCCCTTAGGAATTTGGGTTGGGACCCGATTTCCCCTCTTCCACCCTATGAAAATAGGTTGCTTCTGTTATCCTTACCGTCACTCGAGAAACGTAGATTTGTTCTTGGGGTTTCCTTCCTAATCAAATTAATAAATGGTGCAATTGATTCGCCCGCATTACTTCGTGAGATTTGCTTTAATGTCCCTAACCGCTTCTCTAGGCACTTTATGTTGATAAAGCTTAGTCAATGCAAATATAACTTTGAACTGTTTAACCCGCTCAGAGTTGTTTGCAAGAACCTAAATGATGTCTATTATCTATTCTCATTAACGGACTCTTTAAAGTCCATTAAAGCAATTTTGCTCAACAAGCGCGATTTACCTATGTCGTACTTAAACTGATTTAACCTTAGATTTTGTCATTATGAGTCGAAAATTAATTTGTTGTTAACAATTATCGGTTGCCAAGCTTATGCATGTTTGCGATGGCTTAGGGGTTCACTTGCAATTTGGTCCTGTATTGGTTGTGGGTGTGGCTCTATGCTAATTGTGTACATGCTTTTTTTTTTTTTTTTTCCTCCTTATTTGTTTTATTGTACTTATACTAAGTTTTATTATTAAATAATTTTAAGATTTACTTAAGAGTCAATTGAACTCGACTGCTATTTTGTTTTAGTGGAGTTTCTTGTATAAGTGGAATAAATAAATAAATAAATTAAATAAATTAAATTTTTGGGCAGAATAATCAACTCAAGTTTAACCACGCATAAGCATTACAAGGATAGCCTCGAAAATTGCAACACAGGCTCAAATGTCATCAAACTTCTGACCAACATTCACACCGGACTCCCACCTAGGAAAGCATTAAACGTTTACAAATCTATTGTTAGATCCAAAATTGAATATCCCTACTCTACATCGTGTAACGCTCCTGCGTATACATTAAAAAAAATACAAACCTTTCAACATTCAATCCTAAGAGGTTGTACCGGTTTGTCCCCCTCAACACCAACGTCAATTTTACGTTCCATCTCTTATGAACTCCCCGTTGCTGAGAGAATTTATCTTGTAACTGCAAAAGAGCTTCTCAAGGTAAAAATCTTCAAACCTGCCTTCTTTGACGAGGTCGCTTCCAGACACAATCATGTCATCAGTAGTTACTCTAACTGCTTCAAAAAATTCAGTAACATCTTCAATAAAGTTAACTCAATACCCTCCTGGAATAATATTATTCATGATAAATGCGTAGTTGAATTAAACTTACTTAATTCAATCACCAACTCAAAAAAAAATCGATCAGGGTCTTGTCTTCGAATCGCTTGTCTGCAAAAACTTAACCACTTCGTCGAAAATAACTTCAAAATATACGCAACGGATGGATCTATCAATTCGGACATCTCTAGTTTTTCAATTATTGAATACCCAAACTTACTTATAGGAAAATTTAAAGTTCTACAAGAACTATCATCCACTTTCATTGAACTTCTGGCCATCAGACAAGCAATCATCCACGCATCTGAAATTAAGCTGAAAAAATTTGTAGTTTTCTCTGACAGCAAATCTGCTCTAATTTTAATCAAGAACAAAGACCCATTCAATAAGTATGTCTTCGATATCTACAACCTTTTAAAAGACACAAGTATTGAAAAATGCCACATCATCTGGATCCCAGGTCACTGCGGTTTTAGTATCAATGAAAAAGCTGACTTCCATGCTCGTCAAGCTAGGTTCGATGGTACAGTTTTGTCCATAAACTACCCCCCCCCCCCCAGCAAAGCTTTCCTGCTAGTCAAAAAACTCATCATAAAAGAATGGAAAGATGAGTATCATGTTTTAGCTAGAGAAAAAAGTGACCGGCTGTTCTACAAAATTTACCCTTTTTTGACACCCACGCTTCTACCTAAAGGAATTTAAAGTTCTTCACCGTCTTATGAGTAATCACACCTACGACAAGGTCTATTTTAAAATGATCAAAGTCTCCTCCTCTGACATCTGTGAGGATTGCAATATTACTGAGTCTGCCGAGCACCTTATTTTTGAGTGCAGGAGGTTTGACATCCTTAGACAATCTTTCAGTATATTTAACCTGTATAACAATCTATATGAAATTTTTCGTGCTGGTAACTTTAGGCATTTGAAGCAACTGACTGCCTTTATCAAATCAGCTGAGTTTTCATTCCAATTTTACATTTAGTATTTCTATTACAATCACGAATCGCCTACACTTTTTCTTTTATCGGCATTATTAGCCGGATCTTGACAGTACAGTAACAAGGACGGTGATTTATGGATTGACAGCGGAACAGAGCCTCTCATTGCGAACACTCTGCCACATCAGTCTACCTATGCTTAAATTTTTTCATCAATCGCTCTCAACTTCGTTTCTGGATTATGGATCTAACATTAACTTAACTGGTCCAATCCATCTCTAAACAAACAAAAAAAAAAAAAAAAAAAAAAAAAAACACCCGATTATAAATTGCGAAACCAAACGCTCCATGTAAACTCACACTTCTAACATTTATTAGTCTTTCGTTTGCTTATTTTTTTTTTTTTTTTGTTCTTTGTTTCTTCCTCCTTTTTTTTTTAACAGAACCCAAAAATAGTGTGGAATCTTTAAATTTTTCTTTCTTCATGAAGCTCACTTTAATGCACGCTACCACTTTTCAACGTCACCTTAACGCGTTTCCTTGGTCTTCTAATCGTTGTTGTTTCTTCCTTTTAGTTAAATTTTGCTTATCAATATTTTGGCATTTAACGCGATTATTTGCATAAAAGTTTGTGCATATCCATAGTAATATTTGTATATGCTTTACTAGCAGGCCTTGATTTCATTTTTTTTTTCTCTTCCTAATATTCTTAAATAAGTTTAAGCTACACTTTGGCTTGAACCGTAACTAGCTCTTTTCTCTTTTTACTAATGCATTTAATGTTTCTTTTTTCGCCTTTTCTTTCAAGTTAATCTATTTTACTCAAAGAGAAAACCATCTTAAAAGAATTGTAGAAATTTTTCTTTAGATATTTTCTGCACAATTTTTGTTTTTTCTGTTTTTTTTTTCTTTTCGTTTGCACCTCAATGCTTTAATGCATATTCTACTGTTCTGTTTTCAAAGTAATCTGTTTTACTAACACAACATAATGACACATATCAGAGTATTTTGATTTCTATCAACTATAAATTTTTCACGATAAATCAGAACCTTTCGGTTGTACTGCCAAAACCAGACTCCCCCGCTCACTAATCAAAAAAAAACCAAAACCTACTCTTTTCGCATGATTGCTTCTTTTTCCTTTTTTTTTCTTTTTCTCTGAGTTGGCTACCTAGCGGCTGCCCGCTATTCTTGCAAAAAAAAAAGACCAAACCGCAAAATCACGCGATTTTGCATAAAGGGTTGCCGTTATTGCTACATTTTCGGCAAAAACAGACCGACTGACACCCTACCCTAAGTTTGTTCGCGGACGTTACAACTGTTTACAACTGTTTAAGACTGTTTAAGACTATTTAATAAGTTTATTATATCGTTTCCTAAAAACAACCAAGCGAAATCAACATTAGTATTAATTGTAACATTAGTGTAATTTTACAAAAGTTATAAAGTAAGTAAAGTAAGTATGTCCTTGGAATTTCTCCACAGTACCAATTTTAGCTACGTCGGCATCAACAAAAAGGTCGCGCAAATGTTCAACTTGCTTTATGAACGGAGTTATGATGCCAATGGGTTCCGGTTTAATATCCTTATGATACCATTTGACTGTCATTAGGAAAACCTTCAAAAATGGAATAAATCTTATAAAATACTAGAGGGGATTCTGCTTTTAAACTAAATACAACTTACGTGATTCGCTTCGTAAGGATTATACCACGACGGTGAGTCTTCTTCCTGCATATCTTTACTATGCATTAATTTGAAAAGGATTGCGAAAATGGAATGTACGTTTGCGCTAAGATTGATGCAGCTATGAGTGATTTAAAAAGCATGCCAAAACTGCATTAAATTAGGAAACATTGGTTAAAAGAAAGCTCATTTTCATTTATCCTTTGAAATTCTACTGATTTTACGGACTCGCGATGGTCAAGTATTAGGTCGATTATTTGGGCGTGTGAGCACCAAGCATTACAGATATGACGTTGAAGGTATTTTCATGATAATACCGTTAGCTCCACCAGATGCCGCGGTAATGACTACATATTCCGAGCTACCACTGAGACGCCAAGTGACGTGCGATAACTTAAAATCTCCCAGCGCCGTATTCCACTCCACGGAGCTTGGGTTAATGAAGTAAAGGATTAAAAACATATTTTGCTTAGCAGTTTTCACGAGAACGGCAATAAATTGAGGAGTTCGAATTTCAAGCATATATGACTAAGAAACAATTATGATGTCAAGTAAAATACCGCCTGCAGCTTGATCTAATCGACTTTGGAGTTAGAAACTAAAAAACAAAAAAAAAAAACTGGACGATTACATTCTATCCAGATTTGCGTAAAAGCCATGCAAGAAAATGTTCCCCGGTTTTTACCAAGATTATATTTGTCGCGCGTAATGCGTTTGTGCTGTGCATGTATGTCACTACAATACCTCGGTTGCTTGGTTTCTGTGTGATGAAATGCAATAATTTCAGAAACAAGCGCGCATAAATATAATTTATAGCACTAACATATAATTTAAATTAAGAATTTAAATTTTTACTTCTAGCGAAATTGTGTGAATCGAATTTTTATCCTTAAAGCATTTGCACACTTACCCCATATATATCATATGATAGATCCACGTTTTCAGGTTCATACATGCGTATATGCAATGGTGGAATTTCATCTCCTTTCAAGAATGTAATCATTGCACATTAAGGTACAGGATCGTTAAGCTCCCTATCCTTACGTGTTAACGTTGCGATAAGAGCATCTCCAGTTGGTTTTCCGTGGGGATTAAAATAAGTATCAGCAAATTCCATTATGTCATTAAACACATCATTTCTGTGTATGGCTTTTGTTAGTTCAGCTATTTTCCGTCGTATTCTAAGACATTTTCTCGCCCTATATTTTCCTCGCTTTGTACGATCAATATGTTGTTGAAATGTTGTTGAATATGTTGTATCGGATGATTATTGGTGTCAGTAGGAAATCCGGATCGTGTACCACTCTAAAAATTTTTCGGGCTTGCAACTTGGATGTTGTTAAACTAATGCTCTTCCAATTAATCCTATTTTATAAAAGAGAATGTGTGTAGGGATGGGAAAGTCGTTTTGCTTTATATATTGGATCACCTTTATATCCAGCTCACTTTTTTTTATAATTTTTACGAAACGTCCGCGAAGCACTGCAACAGAATACTAGTGAGGCTACAAGGGCTTCGCTTCTTTTTATAAGCTTTTGCGCCGTAAACGTTTGGTGCGGTTTTGCATTTTAATAGCATTTTTTGTCGTACAATTAATAAGTACGAAAGAGAAAGAACGTACATTGTCGCTAATTAACAGCTCTACTGTTATTACTGCCTGAAGTTCCTAAGAAATTCAAATTTTCTATTTTGAACGAAATGTATCAACATTTTATCATTTGTTTGTCTGCTTTATCGTTTTAATTGAAAAAATGCAAGTCGCGCCGGAAAATTTAATTAGCACGGAAATTCCGCATATTCGACAGCGAAATTATCAGTTATCCGGTTATTTACAGTAATGACATGCATTCGGCGCTGTCTATTATACTCTATGTAATAAGCAGGAAATTTCCTATATGGCGCTATGTTTGAGAAGCCGTCTTTGAAAACAAACTTTTGTTTTTCTTTGCTGTTGAGGAAAGAGAAACATAGCATACACATAATTGAGCGAAGCATATATCATCGTTTTAACCTACATACACATTTACACTACTGCTCATATGCAATTAAAAACATTACGATCTGTACACTTTCGCTTTTGTAAAAATATGATAAATTTTCATAGTTTGATAACGTATGGGTATTTCATGTCGCCAGAAACCGAGCTAAAAAAATATAAAGTTTCTTTTTCCAGAGACATAGAAATTTTTATGCACATGCGCATCTCACTAGATCTGCTATTGAAATAATAATATTAATACGCGTACGAAAAGATTTTTTTTTTTTTTCTTTTTTGATATGTTGAATGGAGATGGACTAAGTCAAGAGATTTGTGGTTTATATGTCCAGATAATAAACTGTCGTAATTTTTGGTCACAATTATGTACAAAACGTAACAAAAAAAGAGCGGCCGTAATAACTGGAGCCAGCATGTTAAGTGTAATTGTGTATATGCGTGTAATTATCTTGTTGAGTTCTTGAAAGTTAAACAGTGTTGCAAACTTTGGCTGAAAACGAAAAGGAATGCTATGGTAATAGAAGATGATTGAACGCAAAAACGGAAGAAAAAAAAGGAAAGAAGACGAAAAAAAAAAATTCGAATAGGATAAATTAGCTTTTCTAATAAAGCAAGTTAGTTCCCCGAGATGACGTACATTGCTGCAAAGAGAACGAGGAGACAGCCATATAACTTGAAAAACCTAAAGGAATCTCTAATGCCGTTAAGCCTGTGACATCTGAAGATTAGATGCTCAGCAGACTCAACAACATTGCAAACTTCACAAACATCACATAGTATAGCGCGAATCATTTTTAAATAAACTTTGTCATAAGTATGACCACTGATGAGTCTATAAAGAATTTTGATTTCCCACGAATTAAAAGAAGATACAGAAGGTTTGAATTGAAATGTTTAATTTAATTTATAGAAAAGACGATTGGATTTAACGCGCGCGATTTCTTTAAATTCGTCGTTTAGCTGATGAAGGATGTGGTTGCGAATTGCCTCGAATTGCTTCATTGGGAGTGTATTTGATGGACATACTTGTCCCATCAACACGAGCTCTCCCTCCATGAAAGTTGGCTTTTACAATTAAAAAAAAAAGCCGCAGTGGCCAGGTACTCAAACGAGGTGACATCCACTTGAGATTCATGCAACATCTTGTGAATATCAAACACATATTGATTTTCTGCATCTCTTTTATTTATTGGAAGTAGAGCTGACTTGCTGTCAGAAAAAATAACAAACCTTCTGATACCATCGGAGATAGCAACCTTAATAGCATGTGAAATGGCGAACAACTCAATAAAAGTCGACGAAAGTTCCACTTTAACTCGATGTACTGTTTCAGATAGATGTTTCACGACCGAGAAGCCAGATACATTATGTCCGACGGAACCGTCGGTGGCATATATATCGTAGCCGTTGTTGTAATAAAAAAGGAGCTTTTCTTGGCATAACAACCTCATACAAGAGAAGTTGACATTATGTTTTGAGGTAGAGATCCAATAGAAATTCAAGGGAGGAATTGAATCTAACTTATCAAAAATATGACGAAGTTTTTGATAGCAAAAAGTATAGCTGCAAGTGCCAGTATCACTGAAAGATATAATTTCCTGAAAAAAGGAAGGATTTATCATCTTGACTTTAATTAAGTCTTTGGCAGTGCAAAAAAGGGCTCTTTCGGAAACCGGCCATTCACCAGATATGACATTGAGAATATGTTGAGGAGTTGAGGGGGTCAGTTCAGTACAACGCTTCAACATTCGGTTTTCAAATGCTTGTATACGTTTCTCAATATATTTTGGGCAACTGCAACATGTGGAATGTCCAAATTCAATTTTGGACCTGACTAGAGATTTGTAAACGGTCAAAGCAGTTTTGGGAGGCAAGCCTGCCTGATTGTTTGTATGAGTTTGATGACGTTGTATTCAGACTGGCAATCTTTGAACGCCTTTTCGTAATGCCCATGAAGGGTTAAGCTGTCATTTAAAATTCTCCCAAGAAATCGAAGAGATTTTACCTGTTTAACTTGGGTACCTTTGATAAGAAGTCTGATTTCACGTTTAGAACCTTTGGCAAAATAAATAGTATTTGTTTTGGTGGGGTTAAAATATAAATTAAGATCAGCGCATGCATCGAAAAAGAAGTTCGCTTTCATCGAGAGGTTATTGACAGCAGCTGAAAAAGATGAGTCCGCAGATACAATTACGAATTGCATATTGAAAAATAGGAGTTTTGTCATCATGAAAATCATGCACACAAGCTGCGTATAGATTGAAGAGTATTAGGCTTAAATAACTGCCTTGTGGGATGCCACCACATATTTCAACTTTTTCGGTACCCATCACTAACACACGCTTGGATAAAAAATTAAGTATCCACAGCTGCATTTGAAGGGGAATCAAAAGGTTTAAGAGAATTCTACCAAGCTTAATCAAGTTGACACAGTCATAGGCGTTGCTGATGTCCAGGAAAAGAATTTTGCCTGCTTTTTTTAGCTAGCTATGAGTTCATTAACGCACATATTCGTAGATTTGCGTTTTTGATAGGCGTAAGAACGAGCTAGAATAATGTTCTCAGTTTTCAGGAAAGCAGTTAGTCTCTCCTTAACCATGAGGTTGATAGTCTTTATGAATACAGATATCAGTGAAATTGGTCTGAAGTTACTTAAATCATTTAAGTCTTTACCTGCCTTAGGAATGGGAACTATTTTGATGCATCGCAAATCTGAGGGTTTGAAGTTGATGGACCAGCAGTTATTAATTGCATGCAAGAGAATGCTAAAACTTCCTCCAGACAGTGCTCATTGTCATACTTGACTCCATCACAATCTGCAGCAGTACCTCTCTTTCTGGAATGTAAAACATACATTAGCTCATGCAATGAAAAGGATGTGTTGCTGAGACTACTAAAAGAAATTGAAGGTATTGTAATCGGATTGACACTTGGAATGTAGCTCGTGAGCACATCCAAGTATTTTTATGGTTAATCCATACAGCACAACCGCTTAAATTTCGACTAGCATGTCGATGACCATTGATATAATTTCAGAAAGAACGTGGGTTGCCGTTACCACATAAATCTTTAATCGCGATAGCTCTTTGTGTCCTTTTCGCCTTTCTAACTGCAAACCTCCATTTTTTCAGTGTTTTCATATATTCAATGTAGTTGGCTGGATTGGCATACTTACTCATTTTTTTTCTTGCCAGGGAAGAGTTCCACCAAGGTTTTTGTGAGAAGGACTCAATGTCAGAAAAGTTGGTTCTAGCAGACCTGATCACAGACTTTTGAATTAATGATAAATCAGAAGGAAGATCAA